TTATTCATTATCTGCCTTGCTTTTTAAGGGAGGAGATGGGGAGATAATGGTTATGCTGTGTTGGGGATGTTATAATAGAGAGAAGATTGGCTTAAAGACTAATATTAACCTAGTCTGGCTAATCTAATTAAATAATTCTTTGCAACGTAGCTGTTAAACAACTGTTGATGGGCAGGAATTTTCTGGATGCAGCAAGACAACCTAGAATGGCAAACAGGCTCTTTCTCCCTTACCCAGCAGAGGTACCGTCTGCACCTTGTGTTGTTGCAGCACTCAACTGTTGTGTGTGGATGCACGCACGCACACCCTGCTGTTCCTGGAGACTGTTTCAACAAAACCTCTGTTTGCACTCATGGAAGATACCACTTTCCCCCTTATCCCCCCATCAGTTCACAGGAACCACACAAGGGAACTATGCAGGTTATAACCAATCCCATTTTTATGAGGACTTTATGTCCGCTGCCACAAGTAAGCATCCTCCCATTAATTGTGATCTAGTGACAGTAACCAGGAGAGAAATCTAAATCACTTTACCAAAAAGCATGCGATTGACATAGATTTTCATTCAATAGTTCTGCCTCAGAGACACACAGGAGACCTGGGGCTAACCTTCATTAGTAGAGAAAGCTAAAGATGGTAATAGTACTCTATATTCTAATAGTACTCTATATTCTAATGAGTACTCTTATTTTTTCTGTTACATTTTAGTATGATAATTTTATTAGTCAGTATTTAGTATGATTCAGTATAATAATATTATTATTAAATGTTTCCCCAATGCTTCCCTCCTTCCAAGTATCTGAACAGCTGCCAACCATAATTCAGCCAACACTGACTGTTTTGTTAGCGTGGTATCTCCCTTCCTGTTCAAGGATGAATTCCTTCCCTCCATGCAGACGCCACAACTTGACTGGAATTTCACAATAATTTCTTTTAAAGATAAAATCTCTCTTCTTTCCTAATCCTTGTGTATGCTTATTACTGAACACAACTGTACCTTTTAGATGAGGTTCAAATTTGCCACGTTCCAAGTTTGCATGAATTAAAAAAAGTGCATGGTAAGAGTTTCCCTTCCCTAACTTTTTTTTAAAAATTAAAAAAAAAAAAAGAAAAAAGAAGTTAAGATGAGGTGGGGGAAGGTTCTATACAGCTACTGTTATTTTGCTCTGCCAGAGCTGTTGCTGCCCCAGGCTCTGTGGCCACCTCTCCTCAGCACGGGCCATGCCCCAGCAGGCCGCCACGCGTTGGGACCAGCTGCGACTGGCCCAGAACTCTGCTTTGGCAGGAAGGCGCTGCTGGGCACTGCTGGGGACAGGCCGAGGCACAGAGCCGCCTGCGAAAAGGCTTGAAGCACTTTAAAAGCTGCTTAGCTGAGTAAAGAGAATTTGCAGCATGGTCATGAGCTGCTCAGGAGGATCGGAGGATGCAGGGCTGAGTGGCTGGAGCCCCACTGCAGAGGGCAGCCTGGGCTGCCACGCTGCACCCCAGGTTGCCACGCTGCACCCCGGGCTGCCACGCTGCACCCCAGCCCAGCCCTCCTCTTGCCACAGCAGTGGCCCAGTGCGAGCAACATATGAACTATTATATTAAACACATTTATACAGAAGTACATAAGATATGAAGTCTAAATTTGGTTATAAATTACAGCGGTTATTATTGACAAACTAAAGCAAAGCAATGCAGTTTTATTTGGGAGTAAAGCTCTCATCCCCACAGCTGTCCCCAGGGGCCTGCTGAGCTCCCACCCTCTGTGCAGTAGGAGCGGCTGTGCTGAGTGACCACCTCATTTTCAGTGTTTGCTTCCATTTTCTGAGGGAAAAAAGTCTTGGAATTGGGTTTTCAATGTAAGTATTTGCAATTGTGAAGGGGAAGCCTGTTCCCTCAGCAGATCCCATGGAATTGATCTAAACCAAGCACTTTCAGGCACTTTCTAACACAGTTTCTGCCACAGAACCCTCCTGGTCAGGTATTCAGAGACAGGCAACCCAAGGCTGCAAGGACAGGCAAAGTCATTTGCTCAGCGATTTCACTACTCACAGATTGGGTTTGCTTTTTTCATAGTTTATGAAGCTCCGGCCAGCACATTAAAAAGAAAAACTTTTTGTCCAAGAACCAACATAATGTGTTGAACTTGCCATTGCTGGCATGCACTAAATCCTGCTTCTACTAAGGAGCAAAGCCAAAGCTCCTGCTGAATGTGAAGGGCCCAACGTTTGGGTCAGAGTGCAACACTGATTGCTTTGTTATCCGATAAACTTAAAAAGACATTTTAACTCACTATGACATGTAACTTATAACATTCCCAGCAGCCCTTCTCCCGCTCAGGGGAGCAAACACTCAGCAACAAGCAGTAAGTGAATAGAGGAAAAACCCAGCGTTAAATGGAAAAACCCCAAACCTCATTTTAGTCAGTTAAAAAAAAAAAACAAAACAAAACCAAAAAAACCCTTAATCTTTACATTGGCACAACATGCTCAGAAAAATTTGGGAGACCGCTCAAGCTCCTAAAGGCAAAAGCCTCCCTACTGCTTGCAGCAGGTTGGTTCCTGAACCATACCAGCTCCCTGTTTCATACATTTTTTGTCTTTAACTCCCCTTTGGCTCTAGCTTGTGGCAAATCACAGTTCATGAAGATGCATGCCACAAGACTGCAACTACTTGCCTAAAGAGGTGAAATAAACAGGGACCATTTGCGAAAGTACTCCCACCACTTGGAGCAGTTCATTTTTCAGGACATTCAGTGCCAAACTGCTAGGCTGAACGGGAAAGAGAAGGAAAAGGAGAGTAAAACCTTTCCTGTAAGCATTTCTGAAATGTTTATCACAGTAGCACTAAGATATTCATAGCCCTTTCATTTCTCTGAAAGGAAGTGGAGAAAGATGATGTCATTCCTTAAAAACCCAAAGGAACAAAGTAGGAACTTTGAACAAACCTGGAAAATTAAGAGCTGCATCTTCAGCCACTGCTGACTTAGACAGGAATTGAAGATGCTTAGTGAAAACTGGGAAAAGCCCCTGACAACAAATATTAGATGAAAAATTGTCAAAATATATCAAAAAAATCACATTGTCAACAAAACTGAAAATTAAGAATGTAAAATCATGACTGCAAATACTGAGGGGCTGTAGGAGGTGAAGTACAATTACTACAGTCTAGTGCTAAATTCTGAATAGCCAAAACACAAGAAAGTTCATCAACAGCATACTAAAGGAATCTTACAAAGCTTTATTAAATTATACAGGTACAAATTATTATTATTTACATCCAAATTGTCAATTTTAAGTAGTATTAGCATGTAAGGCACAACTTCTCCAAAACTAGCCAATAAGTTACACAAGACTCAATAAAACAACATGTAACAAGTTGGTTTTTTGTAATACTGCGTGAAACCAAAACCGTATGCCATAAACTGTGTCTGCATTCCATTCCTCTATTTGCCCACATAGTTCTGCACACAATATATTTTGTATTAAATATTTTGTTCTTTGAAATAGAACAATTGTGATCACTTTCATTATGGTCCTCAGGAGGGTTCAGGCAGCCAGAATATTACTGACAATTAAAACTGTGATACTTGTTATATGTAAACAAAGCCCTTATCTGTTAAAAGTTACTGTGATTATAATCATAATCCTCAAAATAAAGGATTCCAACTGAAATATCTTTTTTTTTTCCTATTCTCAGGGAAGTACTTTAGGACTAAGAATTGGAACCAAGTTTTTCTTCTCATCTGTTTAAAATTAATTTGGAAAAAAGCTCAAGTCAGCATACCTCACTGCCATCTTGTTTAGAAAGCAAAATACACCTGAGCACACAGTACTCAGCTGCCTGGTTTAGCAGAGTACTTTCTGATGTACCCAGAATTGTGCCTTTTGTATCTGTGTGTCTTAGCTAGTCAAGAAGAAAACCAAAAAGTCAACCAAAACACCCCCACATTAATACTTACACAATTAAATGCTACATTGTATTTTACAGACTTACAAGTGAGCACTTATTAGTAGGATATTATTGTACAAATATTCCAAAGTCTGTTCATACCACTAATATCTTACTGTATAGTTTAAATGACAATTCTGGGTGTGGCTGTATCAGTTTGTACACAGAGACAAGCAGATTGAACCAACTGAAAAGGTCACTCATTGTAACTGTGAAATAAGCCACTTCCCAGAGCACCAGGTGACTAGTGGCAATAAAAGGAGGCCCAGTGTCTACTGAGGTACTTCTATGTGTGAAATGACCTATATAAATGTATTATATTTATATCAGAACACAGTTAAGATAATTGCCTTCAATTAAAAATATTTACTACCAGAAGAAAGGTCCTCTTAGAAGGCACATGCTTTCACATTCCCAGTCCAAAAAAAGTGCTTACAGTAACAAGAAAGGAATACTGCAGTTGTACCCAAAGAAAGCCACACTAAGACAGTTTTGTTTTGGGGTTTTTTTTGTTGTTGTTGTTGTAAAAAACCTCCAAATTATTCACAGTTGTTCCAGCATTCCTAATGTTAAACCAGCAAAATATGGTGATGAATCACATTGTAAGGCTAACGTAAGAACACTTATCAGTGCAGTACATTCCTGAGTCTTTGGAACTCAAAATAAAAAATTAGTTCTTTGAAATATACAATCCTTCGTATTTTTGGCTCATATTTGACCTGTTTTTCTATTTCCCTTTTTTAAAAAGTTCATTAAAAAGAAAGTTAAGTTTTACAAAAAGTAAATAAAAATTTTTTATCACTATCACTTAGACATAACTTCTAGTTGCTTGAAGAGTGCAAGAAAGCTAGCTTAGCATAAACACTGCTTTTTGTCCAGTCATCCTTGTCAACTGAGTATAAAACAGCAAATAAAATAACTTTTAGAGAACTGAAGCACTGAAATAAAAAAAAAATTCACAGAGCTCTAAATAGAAAAAAAAAAAAAAATTACGAAGCTAGTTACATTCAAGAGATGACTTGAATTATATTGAAACTGCAAAAGTTCTTAAATTTCTTAAAAATAAAGGCACTGATTTCCACCCCCCCTAGCCCTACTACATGAAGATGAGTCCTGCTGTCTCTAACGTGAACCATAATCAGTGCTCCAGAGTGTGGATGATGGGCTTGTTTTCCTGCTTGAGGACTGAGGACTGAAGGAAGGTGCAGGTGATACAGAGAAACCTGAAACACAGGGGAAAAGGAAAAAAAACCCGGTCATACTCAGGAATGGTGGAAAAAGTAAGAAACAAATAACTGCTGTTGATCATCTGCTGGAACACCTGGCAAATGAGTCTAATGATCCATTCAAAGTGAAATAACCCCTTTAGCTTATTGCCTGTTGAAAAGACATCTTATAAGCATCAAAATTTTGCAGGTCTTCCTATTAAGAACTTTTTAATTAAAGAATTGATTACTCTACTGAGGGGGGCACAACACGTTTCACCTCAGCAAATAACTTTCAGTTTGAATTTGCCTTATTTTATCTGACATGTCAGATGTGTTTTTACAAACAGGACTGAAGCTCACCGTAACTTAAATACATCTATAATAATGTCAATTTTGTTTTAATAGCCACTATTGATTACAGAGCTTCCAAGTGAATGGGTATTTTTTGCATATTTCTGAAAGAGTTTGATTCTGCAACACTGTAAATAGGTAAAATGGGGAATAAATATGATGTCAAAAAATACAGATAAACATGACTGCAAGGTCAAAAGCAGTGAAGGAACAAACTGTTCCTTGTGCAACACAACTGAGTGTTCTATAGACTTGTGTCCTTTGCCCCCTAACAGTTGCCCTTCCCTGTCTCTTACAGCAGCCCCAGTTCACAGTACCTCACAGCACGCGGACAGCACAAGAAATGAAGCACATGCTGCAGCTAATGTGATGTCGCATAAACTGACTAACCAGCCAGCTGCTGCCAAGCACATTGTTATCAGCAGCTGACCTCTACTTTACTTCCCCCGGCAGGAGCAAGATTGTGGATCTCTCTCCTCTACCCATCTGGTGATTTGCATGAATTCTTACACTTTTAACCCTCTCCCTATTTCCAACGTGGCTGAAGCTGACCAAAAGTTTCAAAAGAAATAGTAATGGGTAAAGGGGAGGTTAGGGGGTGGAGCAGGAGGATGGGCAACAAATTTCCTAGGAACTGGCACAGTGCTTGTTGTGATGTAATTCAGTATACAGGCCTTCTCATAGTCAAACCTCCCTATATTCAATTCAAACACAAAACCTCCTTTGTAATATCTCAGTTAGTGATAGCCTTGACTGCAGCGATCACAATTTTGTGGCATTTGGGATCCTGCTGAGCATGCGGAAGGTTACTAAGACAAACATTTCAGATATTAGAAGAGCAAATTTCAGCTTGCTCAGAGCTCAGTTGGGAGGGATTCTGTAGGAAGCTCCCATGGAGGATAAAGGAGCTAGTGCGTGCTGGGAGTTTTTCAAGAATGCTCTCCTGGAAGCACAAAATCAGTTCATCCCCTTCAAAGGTAAGGGAAGTAAAGGAAGCAAGAGACCCTTTTGGCTTAACTGCGAGCTTCTGAGTCTGCCCAAAACCAAGAGAGAAGTGTACCAGAGATGGAAAAGTGGATGAATACCTGTTGAGAACTACAAGGGCATTGCCAGGGTGTGCAGAGATGCAGTTAGAAAAGCAAAAGCTCAGCTTGAATTGGCCAGAGATGTCAAAAACTACAAGAAAGGGTTCTTCAGGTACATAACAAGCAGAAACAGAAGGAAAATATTGGCGCTCTGTTAAACAGGAGAGCTGAATTAGTCACCAATAATGCTGAAAAGGCAGAGGTTCTCAACACTTTCTTCACCTCTGTCTTTACTAGCACTGTTGGGCCCCTGGCCTTGGGAACAAAAAAACACGCTGATGCAAACACAGACCCACCGTCAGTGAAGGAAGAGTTGTGTGAACTATTACAGGAGCTTGACACCCCTACAAACCGATGGGCCCTGACAACCCAACCACCCGAGGGTGTTAAGAGAGCTGGCTGGCGTTGTGACGCCGCTCTCTATAATCTTTGAGAAGTCATGGAGATCGGGGGACGCCCCAGAAGACTGAAAGAAGGGTAATGTCACCCCCACCTACAAGAAGGGCTTAAAGGATGGCCCAGGAAATTATAGGCCCATCAGTCTTATTTCAGTCCCTGGGAAAGTAACGGAACGAACCCTCCTGGGGGCTATCACAAGTCAAATGAAGCACGTGATTGGAGAAAGCCAGCATGGATTCACCAAGGACAGATCATGCTTGACAAACCTGATTGCCTTCTACAACAAAGTAACCTGCTCAGTTGACATGGGATGAGTGGTAGATTTCTCCAAGGCTTTTGATACGGTTTCCCACAGCCTCCTCCTAGAGAAACTGATGCATTGCAGTCTAGAGAAGTGGTCTGTGCGGTGGGTGGGGAACTGGCTGACAGGCCGCACCCAGAGGGTGGTAGTAAATAGCTCCTTGTCAAACTGGCAACCTGTCACAGGTGGGGTCCCCCAGGGATTGATATTGGGTCCAACGCTGTTTAATATCTTCATAAATGATCTGGATGATGGGATCAAGTATACCCTGATGAAGTTTGCCAATGATACCAAACTGAGTGGGGAAGTGGACACTTTGGAAGGGAAAGCCACCCTGCAGGAAGACCTGGATAGGCTAGAAGAGTGGGCTAACAAGAACTTTATGAAGTTCAACCAAGGCAAATGTAAGGTCCTGCACCTGGGAAAACATAATCCAGGAGTGCAGCACAGGCTGGGATCTACCTGGCTGGGGAACATCTCTGTGGAAAGGGACCTGGGGGTCCTGGTGGACAACAAGCTCAATCAATATGAGTGAACAGTGTGCTGCTCCAGCAAAGAAAGCCAAGAGGATACTGGGTTGCATCAACAAGGGCATCACCAGCAGAGATAAAGTCATTATCCCACTCTACTCGGCACGTGTCAGGCCACACCTGGAATACTGTGTTCAGTTTTGGTCCCCATGGTACAAAAAAGATGTGGACAGGCTGGAGAGGGTCCAGAGAAGGGCCACAAAGATGATCAAAGGACTGGGAAGCCTGCCATATAAGGAAAGGCTGAGAGAACGGGGTTTGTTCAGCCTTGAGAAAAGAAGGGGAGACCTTATCACCATGTTCCAGTATTTAAAGGGTGGCTACAAAGAAGATAGAGACACCCTTTATACAAGGAGCCACATGGAAAAGATGAGGGGTAATGGGTACAAGTTACTCCTGGGAAGATTCTGATTGGACACAAGAGGAAAATTTTTCACAATGAGAACAATCAGCCATTGGAATAACCTCCCCAGGGAAGTGGTGGATTCCCCAACATTGGACAGTTTTAAGATTTGGCTGGACATGGTGCTGGGCCATCTTGTCTAGACTGTGCTTTTGCCAAGAAAGGTTGGACCAGATGATCCTTGACATCCCTTCCAACCTGGTATTCTATGATTCTAGCTAGACTAATCAATTAATTTATTTATAACCAGATAATAGCTGCTTACTGTTATGGCTCTGCTGAGGAGCTGTCCTTGGGGTAAATGCTGGATGACTGTGCTGTTCTTTCGGTGAGAAAACTGCATGATAGGCTGCAAGACATTGTAAAAACAAACAAACAAAAAACCAATAAAACCAACAACAACAAAACAACAAAATCATTTCGCATGGAAATTAATTCCTTTATATCTTACAGCTAATGCATTATAAGAAGTTAAGGAAAAAAAATACTTCTGCAATCTTTCATTCTCTTACCTATAATTACAACAGCTGTCCCTGCTAATAGTGCAAAAAGTGTGAAGAACATTACTTGGTAAGAATCAAGAAAGTGCTGGAATAAACTGGCTCCATCTGTAGAATCAATTAAGAGGAGACAATATTGAGTTAAAAGAGCATCTTCTCCAATCTGCTTTAAGAGTTAACACTTCTTAACTCAAACTGAAATAGCCAAAAGAAGGATTTTATTTATAGCAAAAAAGTGTATTCAACTTAGATAATATGACTTCAATTCTAGTGACTATTTCCAATACATTCTTCAAAATTTGTCAATAACAATAACAACGCATTCTTACTTTCTCAGCCCCAAAATGTTAATCTGTTTTCAAAATAACAAGGCATGCTTGAAAGTAAATAAAATCAGAACAACAACAAAAAAAAAAATTACTTTCAGACACTTTAGCACTGCAATATTTATGCCAACTTCAACACAGTATTTTGGGCTGACCCAAAAGGAAAATATACTCAGCTTCAGTCATAACAAACAATTGTATTCAAGTCTTCTGGTCACAGCGAGCAGCTTACATGTCAATGATAACAGTAGCTGCCAGCTCAGATTTTAACACACCAAATTTTAGAACGTCATGAACATTAATGGAAGTTAAGAGTTTTATTCTGACATATGAAGTCTAGAGATAAGCTTACGTCTCACTGGTGCACTGGTTCTGTCAGTCAAGTAAATCACTGTCACTGAGATAGTGATAGACTGGTCAGTCATAGGACTAGAGATAGTTAGAGTGGTTGATAAGGATCCCTGGCTTGAAACTCTTGGATCAGCCAGACTAACGGTGTAGACTACGTAACTAGGCAGCCCGTAGAACTTCTCTTTCTCAAACGCCTTCACTGTTGGTGAACCACATTTCACCTGCCGAGGAAAAAAAAACAACCTGAAACAGACTGTTTCAGAAAGCACAGCACACATCCATCTTCCAGGCCACATGTCAGAAATATGTTATTCCACAGAAACTCACCCCTCAGCAGGGGCTGGACTTGGTTGTAACTTTACAGTGACACCTGCAGCGCTTCACCCCTGTTTATAGTTAAGGTTGCCTTATTAACTGCTGTTTCTGTGGGTCTGGGCTAACCCCACAGAGGCAAAAAAATTGAAGCATCGCTTACTGGGCTATGTGAGCCATGGGCAGTCAAGCTACTAAGTGGGCAAGAACCTACCCCTGCCACTACAGATCAGGCAGATTTTCTGCTTCCCCACCTGTGAGCTGGTTAATACATGCCAACGAGCACACAGGTGAGCCTGACACATTTCTACTACCCCAAAGCAAAAGTGAAAACTGAGGAGGAATACATTCCAAGATGAGTATTTCCAAATCATCTCAGGAACAATCTTGACATAGTAAAGGTGGCACAGAGTGCCTTTGGTTAGAAAGTTACATGTAACAGTTCAAAATGCTTTCAACTGTGCTGTGATAGTTACCAGCAATAGACTCACCTCCAGGGTATCAAGAATTTCAGTGGCACCAAATATTTTCACATCAGAGCTTGTGTAATGGTTACTTAAAAGCATTTCCGTTTGGTCAGCATAAAAGCCAGGATTGAATGGCACCTCAGTGCTGATCTGCTCCCCAGAGAAGTGGCTGCCTTGGATTGAAGCTGTAACTCTGAGTGCAGTTTTACTCATGCTGAGATGCTTCAGCTGCTTGTCAGTAAGCCTGTGCATTGTGATGGAACAGGTGTAATGTCCTATAGAAACAAAAGCAGCTTGACTGTTAAAGCTTATCTTTATGGCTTTTTCTCCATGCAGAGTGAGATTTCTGTGACATCTTTAGGTAAGAGCTAAAAAAGGTGGGAAAATTCAACAAACAGCAAGATCAGGAGTGTGCAGGTGAATGGGATGGTGTGTCTTGCTGGTCCAAGCATCACAATCCCAGTGCTAAAACAACAGAAGATATTTCTTGTCCCAAACTAAACGTCATGATAAAAACACTAAAATGGCAGTTTCCAGTCACATTTTACTTTAATATGACAGTGAGAATCAGTTCCACTTTGGATATAACATTTATGCTAATATTGATAGAAAGGCTTTACTGAAAACAAAATTTAACATCTTATTTCATATTCTCTTCGCTTAATGTTAAAATTTTAGTCAGTTACCATCACCATCATCAGTTCTGTGGAGACATGGTTTATTATTTATAAAAGCTTCTTTAAAGGTTAGATATCCACCATGTTTCTAGTCTCTTATGGGACCTATTTTTCTATTATTAGTGATAAAGATAGTAAAAAATTCCCCCAGTGTGGAAAATACAAAGCATAAGTAACAAGCAGAACTTGCTAGGTACATGTTTTCCCCTTATTTCCTTTCCCTAACAGAGTAACAGAGACAGCCACTATTATGCAAGGTATAATAGTGTTTTACACAATGGGTACAGGGACTAATCTAACAGATAATTAATGTTATTTCCATACAGACCATGGTGTTTTGGTTCTTTTGTAAATCATGTTATAGTGATGTAACACTAACACATGTTGTAAACTTTCACAGTTTTATTTCCGTTTCCACAGTATCTAGTGATTTCTCCTCCTTTTAAGTCCCAGTTCATGCTGTTTTGGGGATACATATGAATTCTACCTTTCATAAGAACTTAGAGCACTCGGGTTGCAGAGGAAAGTTTGAAAGCATGATAAATTCCAGAAATGTTTATATTGCAGAATACAAAGAATGCAAAAAAAATATCCCTGGAAGTGTTCAAAAAACGGGCAGATGTGGCACTTGGGGACATGGTTTAGTCTAGTCTACCCCTGATTGGTTTAGTGTGGACTTGATAGTGTAGGTTAATGGTTGGACTGGATGATCTTAAAGGTCTTTTCCAACCTAAACGATTCTATGATTCTATGAAAATGTATTACTTTCACTAAATTTTCACATTTACGCTATTTCCCTCATTTTAATCACTGAGGTTAGTTATACTGCAATAACTACAGTGGCAGGGCTTTTAAAAGGCCGGTATGAAACACAAAGAATATTTGACTCTGTAGAGCATAAGTTGGTGAAACCTAAAGATCCTTAGTACACAGACATCAAAACTCATGATTGCTTCTCTTACCCCTCGTCTTAACTTCCACTGCATTTAAGTATATGGTAAAGGCACTGATGTATGGCAAGTAAACACCTAAAAGAGCCACTGGATGTTTACAGCTGCAAAGATACCCCATTTTGGAATATTTGTCACCTGAGTGCTCATTTGTAGCAGCTGAAGAAGGAAGTGTTTTGCTTCCGTAGTTTAAAAAATCCAGGGCCTGATACTCTTTTCTAAATTAAGTTATATACAAGGCAATCTATTTTCGTACAGTTCAGGTGGAGTAAAAGATGGCAGGTGCTAGCTCTATAAAGCATGCGACCCCAGTGTATTATGTCTACATTCTGCAATACCATCACTTCTGTCTCAAGGTACCATTGGACTGTCCACATACCTACAAACACATGAGTAGTAATTTGCAAAATTAGGACCTAAATTTGTGGTCAAAAAAACGTATCAAAGTTTGTGTGTGTGTCCCGTCCCCCCTTGGCCCCAGTAAAATAATGCTTCTGAGTTTCTTCCTGATTTACTACTGCTACTCTGAAAAACATATGAAATGGGCTGCCACTGATTTCTGTCTTTCTCTGAAAACAAATAAATGTCTTTGTCCTATGCAGAAAACCCTAGAGTTAAAACAAGAAGAGTACAGGTTAACAACTCACTGAAGCCTGAGATGACTTACTAGAACTAAATCTGGCCGCTGTTGTAAGAGATAACAAAAAGCATTTTTACAAATACATTAACAACAAAAAGAGAGCCAAGGAGAATCTCCATCCTTTGCTGGATGTGGGGAGGAACATTGTCACTAAGGATGAAGAAAAGGCTGAGGTACTTAATGCCTTCTTTGCCTCTGTCTTTAATAGCCAGACCAGTCATCCCCAGGGTATTCAGCCCCCTGAGCTGGAAGATAGGGACGGGGAGCAGTATGGAGCCCCCATAATCCAGGAGGAAGCAGTTAATGACCTGCTACACCACCTGGACACTCACAAGTCTATGGGGCTGGATGGGATCCACCCAAGAGTATTGAGGGAG